GCACCGCCAACCTTCAGATCAGTGGGCAAACACCTTCGAAAAAATCTTGCATTTTGTGATGGTCCATTTAAAAGAAATTACGCAAAATTCTGTTTGTGTTTTGATAAAATTATAACGTGGTTTTCCAGTGTAGGAGTTTGATTTTATTTGTTGCAAGTCACTAATCTTGAGTGAGCTCCTCTGCGTTTTTAAAGTCCAGACACTTTTTTCCAGTCTGTAGTATTTTCAGTGATCAAATGTGACCTCTCTACACCAACCATTTTTAACATTCATCATTTAACGTCTTGTGTTTTATTATTTTTGTCTAATTATTATTAACACAGCTGCCATCCTTTACAAGAACCCTCCACGGCACTGACTAAATATTCCAAAAGTAGTTTCAAATTGATCAACTTTTCCCCCCTAAATCTAAACTTTTTGTTGTAAACAGTCGGTAACTTTGGCCCTGGCTCGCCGGCTCATGCATATTTCCATCAACACTCCCCTTGGACAGTGTCAGAGTAGTTAGCTTCGCATTTGTGTTACAGCTCATTGATCAGAAGGTCATTTACCAGCCTCCCCCCGGTCACTCTGCTCTAATGCCCTTTTAATGTGCCCAAGAAGTTCCAGCTGGATAAACGGTGGCGCGGCGATGCCAAAGGTGAGCCGTGGCACCGTGCACCGTAAGCCGTTTTTGGATAGAGTCACTCAGCGGTGCCGGGAGTGATGGATGGGTGCGGCCAAACCCGGGTCTGTTGGGGCGGCGAGGGGGGGACGGGCGGGGGACTCCGAGGGCTACGCTTGGACCTGCTTACCTCGACGGTTCTTTCAGGAAAACAAAAACACCGAAAAACTGTCAAAAATGAAAATATATTGTCAGCTTTCAGTTTTAATCCACTACAACTACGCAAATTTATCTCGTTTTGTTTTGTATTTTACGACAAACGGCAACGATTTATTAAAACTACTTCACACTATTCTTGCTTTAAAGATGCACTGTGTAACTTTCACGGGGAGCGACCTGAATTAATGTGTCATTCGTTCATTTGTTTTTTCAAAATAAACCAAAAATAAGAAAAGGAAAAAAACAACAATTTTCTTCGTTATTTGTCTCCAAAACCAAAATTAAAAAACAGATAATGATTTGTTTTTTCAATTTTTGATTATGTGTGAATCAGGACTAAACCAGGACTAAATCAGGCCTCAGTACTGGTCCAGTCCCAGTCTTAGTCCTGGTCTCAGTCCTTGTCCTGGTCCCAGTCTCAGTCCTAAAACAGGACTAAACCAGGATTAAACCAGAACTGAACCAGGACTAAATCAGAACTGAACCAGGACTAAACCAGGATTAAACCTGACCTGAATCAGGACTAAATCAGAACTGAACCAGGACTAAACCAGAACTGAACCAGGACTGAACCAGAACTAAACCAGGACTAAATCAGGACTGAACCAGAACTGAACCAGGACTAAACCAAGACTGAACCAGGAGTAAACCAGAACTAAACCAAGACTGAACCAGGACTGAACCAGGAGTAAACCAGGACTAAACCAAGACTGAACCAGGACTGAACCAGGAGTAAACCAGGACTAAACCAGGACCAAACCAGGACTGCCGGGACAGGCCCAGAGATGCAGCAACGTAGACTGTCGGGTGATCAGAACTGAGACCAAGACCAGACCGGGACCAGAGCAGGACTGAGACCAGAACTGAGACCGGTTTAGTCCTGGTAGACCTGGTTTAGACCTGGTTTAGACCTGGTTCAATCCTGGTTCAGTCCTGGTTTAGTCCTGGTTCAGTCTGGCATTGCACTTTAAGTCAAATAATGAAGGAAATAGTTAGAAAACAATAAATAGAAAATAATAGAAAATAGTTTTTTTCGTTTTCCTATTTTTGATTTTATTTTGAAAAACGAATGAACGAATGATACACGGATTCTAAAGATTAACTTTAATACGATCTATTCATGACATCACAAGGTGTAACAGAGCATTTGCGCTTGTTTTTGAGCGTTAGAACATGTGATACACGGATTCACCTGCTTAGTTTGGAATATTCCACACTGCACAATTAAACGTATCCATTTCACATTCATTCAATTGAAGTTGTTTTTATTGATCAAAACTACCTCAAAATACATGCAACATTGAAGATTTAATGCCGGAACAAAGAGAATGTTTGGTGAATTTTATCAAGGGAAAGACGTTATTGCGAGTGAACAAATCCACGAAGTGAAACCGTCTGGTGAATCAGGATAAAGTCTAATACCATATTGCGGAACATTCCAGGCAAAGCAATAACATTTCCATGGAGACAAGGAATGAGCGAACCCTCCACCAGAAAAGTTACACAGTGCACCTTTAGTAAATCTCAAACAAATGTCCAAATAGTTTTATGAAGACTTTATTAAAACCAAATCATCCAAATATATTATGTCCTTTATTATTATTATTATTATTATTATTATTATTATTATTTTAAATGTATTTATTATTTTTTTATTTATTTTATTTTGCAAACTACTAAATCATATTCTTTTCTATTTCATTTTACGATGGACCGAAAAGGATTAAAACTGTCAAATATTGTAGGTTTTGAAACCTACAAAAGGTTTTCATTTTTCATTCCACACCCTTCTCTCTAATTTTAATGTCTCTCTCTTTAAATTATTTTTATGATTATTTATGTTTTGATTAGTTTTTACTGTGATTTTAATGCATTTCCTATCCACTTTGAACTACTTTGTGTACGAATTATTATTTTGTCTTTACTATCCCGCTACTTCTTCTACCTTTTTAGCGGTTAATTTGGTCTTTCACCGTCTTACCTCACCACTCACGCTTCCACAAACGGTCAAACACTGAAATAGTGAAATAGTACACACAAAAAACACCCTTCTCTCCGACCTCTTCCCCGCTCTATTGTACTTGGCGCCCGACACAGGAACCGGCCATTGAAAAAGCTGGCAGGAGTTTTATGCGTTTGACCTTGTTGGTGAGAAGTATTGTAGAAGGTTATCAACATGGAAGGGGAAGGCCAGGCTATTGTATCCCTGGAGTGCGATTACACCCACGCAGGGGCCCCCGAACACTTAGCGTAACAGGCAATTAACTGTGCTAATGACGGCTGCATTTCACCGCTAATTGATTTCCACTTTATGCGAAAGTCGATGGTAGGATCATTGGTTTTAGCGACTGGACGAGACGCGAAATGTAACTAACCCACACTTGACTACGTGGTAATAGATGAGATGGTGTGGAGATGAAATACACACACAAGAAATGAATTAAACAAAAAAATATATAATATAAATACATACATTTTACATTTAGCGCAAATCCAGTTGATGAAATTGTAAAAAAAAGTTCAAAACCAAGAAAAGTGCAAGTTTCAAGAAGCTTCCAAAAGTTTCTCCATAAGTATCACACACAGAGGACTGAAATTTTGTAGACTTGTAGTCCTCTACTTTGTGTTCAAATAACATCTCTCCAAAGTTTGGTATCTCAACTCCTTGTCATTTTATATGAACTTAAAAATGAAAAAAATCTCATTCATTTCCGTGGCGTACCATTTTTAGCCCCCTTTTAAACCTACTTGTAGGTGTAGCAGACCCTTAAATTTTTTTTGAGGATCAAGATATCACCAAATGTTGAAAATTTGAAATAGGTTATGTGTGAGGGTCCTGTTAAAAACAAGAAAATGTAACATGGTCCGATGTTCACATGTAATTTATGGCATGTGGGTATTGATGAAAAAATTTTGAATAATTTGTCTTTGAAAGATCAAAAAAAGACCTTTCATATGGTACCAAACATGTGTATTTTATGAAGCTCCTTCAATTTTTAATTGTATCTTGAACATTCACATTTGACACAATGACACGAGTCTACAATGACCATGTACTGTTTTGTTTTTTGTTATTTGAACACAGAGTAGAGGAGCACAAGCCTACAAAATTTCAGCCCTCTATGCGCGATAGTTAAGGAGATATCAACCTGTGAAAACGGCCGAGAAAAAATGACGCGATTTTGGGCCCGTAATTTGACACATACTCTCCTAATAAAATGAGCTGTAACTTTAAAAGTAACGATCGAAAATCACTAAAACTTCACAGGGTTGGTACATGATAGTAAGGGACCAGCTGGTAATAACTAAACAAGACCTTTCCCTGAATCGTTTTATACAACTACAAGTGGTTTAAAAGGTCAATAAATCTTCAACCAACACTGTGGAAACCTTTAAAAAAAAGAGTATCAAGCTTTATGTTTTGAAAGATATAGAGCTCTAAATTATTTATATTTTATCTCTTATATATACAGTGAGTCGTAAGTGCAGTTGTAAATGCAAACTTGTTGTTCATGCACCGCTTTCTTTCTTGGAATTCTGTCCTTGTTTAATAAGATTTGGTACTTTTGCTTCAACTTGGACCCTTTCTGTTGTGGTCTGTTTTGTTTTTGTTTTGTAGTGCTGCAAAATGACACACTAATTTTAAATTATTGGGTCATTTTGCATTTTGGGTCACACTAAATCTTAAAATTCTCAAAAAAATAAATAAAAATAAAAATAAAATCACGTTTTTGTTATTAAGTATAGGTGCATTGTGTAACTTTTCTAGTGGAGGGTCCGTTATTTTATTTTATTTATTTTTTTATTTTTTTGTCTGGAATGTTTCACAGTATGATATTAAACCTTTCTATCTCCATGCAGACCAAAATAGCCCAAGTTACAGGTCAGATCTGTGGAAAGGCGACCCTTCTTACAAACAGAACGCCTGATTTTCTAGGTATTTTAGAGCTATAAAACCAACTGTAATGGAATAAATGTAAGGTAAATCTGTTTAATGTCATACTGTGGAGCATTCCAAGCAAAGCAATGACATTTCTGTAGAAACAAGAAGGTGACGGACCCACTATTGAAAGTTACACAGTGCACCTTTCACATAAGTAGAACCACAAATAAAATTGCCAAATGTTTCCCCCTGATAATCTGTTTTATGTATGTATTTTTGTGTTTGTGTGTGCAGACGAGCAGATGTACCGCTGCGAGGAGTGCGACGAGCTCTTCTCCTCCACGCTGGAGCTCAGGAGGCATCAGAAGTACTCGTGCTCCGGCTCCTTCGGCTCCCTGCAGGACGACTTCAAACAGGAGAGAGAGGACAGCGACGAGCCCATCCACGAGTGCAAGGACTGTGAGAAGATCTTCCCCAACGAATACAGGTACAGTCTGCTCAGCTTTGGTTTGATGGTTACACAAATACTGATGGTGGAGGCTGAGGAGGCTGATGACGAGGTTAAAGGTGCCTTGTGTAACCTGATTGTCTCTATGTATTTGTCAGTGTTGAGTCTGGAGCCCTGAACCGGTCCATTTTTGGAGACATGAGCAGTACAGCATCACATTCCGAGATTATAGCAAAGTTAAACCCGCACCCGCCCAGACCGGTTCACATTCCACCTGTTACCCGCCCGTGCCCATCATAAATCACACGCAAATTAGAAGCATCCATCAGAAGACAAATTGAAAAGTTACGGCTTCAAGAATTACAATCACGAAATGAAATGGTTACGCTTTCTTCAGTACGAACGCGAATTCACAGACGCGATTCGGCTGTCAAACTTCATAGGCTTTATTTACTGAGCTGAAGAAACACTGATCGAGATGCTAAACCAGGACTAAACCAGGACTGAACCAGAACTGAACCAGGACTGATCCCAGGACTAAAACAGGACTACAACAGGACTAAACCAGGTCTAAACTAGGACTGAACCAGGACTAAACCAGGACTGAACCAGGACTGAACCAGGACTAAACCAGGACTAAACTGGTCAGTCCGGGTCTCTGTCCCAGTCTTAGTCCTGGTGTGGCCCTGGTCTCAGTCTTGGTCTGGTCCGGTCTCAGTCCCAGTCTGGTCCCAGTCTGGTCCTGGTCTCAGTCCTGATCACCCAACAGTCTATGTTGACTCTACACAGACCAAGACTGAGACCAGGACTGAACCAGAAGAGAACCAGGACTGATCCCAGGACTAAAACAGGACTACAACACGACTAAACCAGGTCTAAACTAGGACTGAACCAGGACTAAACCAGGTCTAAACCAGGTCTAAACCAGGACTGAACCAGGACTGAACTAGGACTAAACCAGGACTAAACTTTTCAGTCCGGGTCTCTGTCCCAGTCTCAGTCCTGGTGTGGTCCTGGTCTCAATCTTGGTCTCGTCCCGGTCTCAGTCCCAGTCTGGTCCCGGTCTGGTCCTGGTCTCAGTCCTGATCACCCAACAGTCTATGTGGACTCTACACCTCCTGGCCCATCCCGATACTCGGCCCCTGGTTCAGTCCTGGGTTCAGTCCTGTTTTAGTCCTGTTTTAGTCCTGGTTCAGTCCTGGTTTCCTAGTCCTGGTTCAGTCCTGTTTTAGTCCTGGTTCAGTCCTGGTTCAGTCCCGCAGTTTACCTGATTTTTCCATTTTTCATTTAAACACAAAATCGAAAACTGTAAAAACGAACCATTATCCGTTTTTTCATTTTGGTTTTGGAGACAAATAATGAAGAAAATAGCAGTAAACTACTAAAAAATCAAACATCTCTGTGAAATATGGAGTGTGTGTAATTTTTATTTTTTATTTTTTTATGTATTTTAACTTTAATTGTCTTTATGTTTTATTTTCCAGTTTGGGTCAGCACATGATCGTCCACACCGAGGAGAGAGAGTACAAGTGTGACCAGTGTCCCAAAGCCTTCAACTGGAAGTCCAACCTCATCCGCCACCAGATGTCTCATGACAGTGGCAAGCGCTTTGAGTGTGAAAACTGTGATAAGGTACAGCCTTCCACGCACGTAAGTTGTGCACAGGAAGCACCGACTTTAACTCAAAACAAAGCATTTTCAGGTTGACTTCTAACCTTCATTCCTTTTCCAAGTGTTTTGAACGTATTTACAAACAAAAAGTGCAAATTGACTACATAAATTGGAGTTTTATTTTTCCAAAACTGTAAAATGTGAACTAATTCTTTTTAAATGTGGTGTTTGATTTTGAATTTGGAGTGCTGTTTTATTTTTGAAGGCATAGATGTAAACTAAAAAAGTAGACTGATAATATTTTTATTACATACTAAAGAAATTGATGGAATAACAATGGCACAGTGGAGTATTTGCCCAGTGTACACGCATCAAGAATCTCGGACTTCCGGTCATTGCGCAATACATACTGGGAAGGATTTTCTGAAAAATTGAACATCAAACCTCCATGTTTGTTTTCCCAGTGGGATGTGTCTATTGACAAAGTCGATCTTTTCAAGTCTGTTGAACCATATCGCTTTTGTTTCTGGTTCTGACATTGTTACATTTTAGTTTTGGGATTCGGACATCGTAATTGTGTGGTTGTTGGATCCTAACAGCGGAAAACGGCTCGAGAAATGTGTTTGCGAACTCCATAAATGCAAAAGGGAATCAGATCTGTGTGACTGCAAACCTCTGTTCAAACTGTTTCCCTTCCGAACGGAATTGAAAAATAGTGAAAAGCGAAAGCGATGAGCAGGATTGATCCAAAGAAAACCTTTGACTGCCTAAATCATTCCGAGTTTGCAGCGAACATTTTGTACGTGGAGCGCCATCAAAGCAAAATCCCGATCCCTCACTCAGCCTTGGTTATGAATTTAAAAAGTCAACGCCAAAGCAAAAGGCACCAACTTTTCACCAAGAAACAACTTCCCCTGCAAAGAGACCAAGACGTGATGTTGCTGCAAAACCACAAGAAAGTTTGAGTTCAGTCTGTTTGTCTTCTGCACCTCTCACTTAACAAACGGGATCCTGCTTTGTTGGCGCTCAACATACAAAATGTTCACTGCAAACTCGGGATGATTTAGGCAGTCAAAGGTTTCCTTTTTCGTCCTTCATGTGGATCAATCCTCCCCATCGCCTTCACCTTTCACTATTTTTCAATTCCGTTCGGAAGGGAAACAGTTTGAACAGAGGTTTGCAGTCACACACATCTGATTCCCTTTTGCATTTATGGAGTTCGCAAACACATTTCTCGAGCCGTTTTCCTCTGTTAGGATCCAACAACCACACAATTACAATGTCCGAATCCCAAAACTAAAATATGACAATATCAGAACCAGAAACAAAAACGATATGGTTCAAAAGACTAAAAAGATCGACTTTGTCAATAGGCGCATCCCACTGGGAAAACAAACATGGAGGTTTGATGTTAAATTTTTCGGAAATCCTTCCCAGTATGCATTGCACAATGACCGGAAGTCCGAGATTCTTGACGCGTGTATTTGCCCACTAACTGCATGGTTGGTGCTTCAAACCTTACCCAACTACTACTACTACTCCTAAATCTTCGCAAGTACTTCAGAAATGCTTTGTGCTTTGAGTTGTTCTGCATGTTTCGGCACAAACCGTACCGTCATTCAGTCGTGCTTTGTCCCCGGTGCTTTCAGGTGTTCACGGACCCCAGTAATCTGCAGAGGCACATCCGCTCTCAGCACGTGGGGGCCCGAGCTCACACCTGCCCCGAGTGCGGGAAGACCTTCGCCACATCGTCGGGACTCAAGCAGCACAAGCACATCCACAGCAGCGTCAAGCCCTTTATCTGTAAGTCACAGCACCTTTTCAGCATAGTACATGTTTTCATTCAGTATTAGCATTGTTATAGAAAAAATTAATAGCTTAACATTTCATTCAAGGCGTTTCATATGTATAAACACTAAAACAAACACTACTAAGTCTAAATTTCACATTGTTATTGCTGGATTTCTTATTGCTGGGATGATATCATCACACTTTACGGGCCAATAACATTTAATACAAATAGGAGCAGCTAAAATTAATATGGTTAACATTAATTAAGGGTTTCTAAAATCTGAAAACCATTTATCTAGATTTTATGTGCACAAGACAACATTGCAAACATGCCTGCACTGGAAAAAACAATATCTAGGTCAGTTAAAATGACTTAAATTAAGAATATTTTACTTTGAGTCGGTTCAACTTGACAAGTGAAATTATCTGCCAACAGAGTAACTGTGTTCTTCTAAATTCAAGCAACATTTGAGTTTGTTTCTTATTTCAAGTGCAAAAAGTTGTTGTTTTTCTTATTTTAAGTCAAGGGTCTCCAAACTTTTTCCACTGGTGAGCTACTTTTACAAAAAGAAAATGCTTAAGAGCTACGCATTTTAGGGGTTAGGGCGACCAGATTTTCAAAATGCAAAACTGGGACATTGAGTTTGGGGAAAGGGTGTGTAACAAAATCTGAGGGATTTCTGACACTGCACTTTTTGCTTCATTGTCATTTCCTGTATTGATGATAATTTATGCTTCTCTTTACTGTTGGTTAGGATCTGATTAGTCAAAACTTGTGATAGTCCTGTTTTAGTTTGGGTTTAAACCTGATGTAGTCCTGGTTTAGTCTTTGTTAATCCTGGTTTAGATCAAATTGGTCAAAAATAGGAACTCCTGGGACATTTCCTGTGTAAAATCAGAACAAATCACTGGTTTTGTTTAAATCTGCTATGACGGGGTCACAGGACTCAAAACTGGGCCTGTCCCAGGGAAAAAGGAACATCTGGTCACCTTATTTAGTACAGGAAAGGTTTAGATAGGGAACAGCAAGATATACTTATAAAACATAAACCTTTATCCATTTATTTGTGCACAAAGTTGGGCATTGATTTGTTAGTTTAATTAGTTAATTTAGAAATCCCTTGGTGAGCTACTTGGAAGGAAGTGGAGAGCTACAGATTGGAGACTTCTGTTTTAAGTGTAGCGAGTTGTATTTTCATATTTTACATAGAAAAGTCTTGTTCCACTGGCAGATCATTTTACTTGTCAACTGAAATGTACTCAAATCATGATAAAACTTTCTTAATTCAAGTCATCTTAACTTGGCTAGATTTTGTTTTTTTCAATGGGATTACCTGTAGTACTTCATTAAACAGTGTGTAGTTGTGATATGAGACTGATTGTAGTGTTGTTGTCATTGATTTGTATTTTCGAGTTAGTGACAGTGTTAAATGGGTTTAACCAGGCCCTGATGGGCTGTGTCTCTTCCCTCCTGCAGGCGAGGTGTGCCACAAGTCCTACACCCAGTTCTCAAACCTCTGTCGTCACAAGCGAATGCACGCCGACTGCCGCACTCAGATCAAGTGCAAGGACTGCGGCCAGTTGTTCAGCACTACCTCTTCCCTCAACAAGCACCGGCGCTTCTGTGAGGGCAAAAACCATTACGGTTCCCCAGGGGGCATGTTCAACCCCGGCATCCCCATGAGCTCCAGCCCCATCATGGCCAAGGCCAAATCCCACCACCCCCACCTCCCAGGCCTCAACCAGTCCAGTCTAGGCTTCACTGACTACTTTCCCTCTAGACCTCATCCCCACGCTGGGCTGCCCTTCTCCCCGGGACCCCACGGGTTCCCTTCGCTCCCTCATGGTTTTCCAGGAATCTTCCCCCCATCACTGTACCCCCGTCCAGCATTAATGCCCACTAGTCCTTTACTTAAAAGTCCCATAGGCGGCAACGGTCAGGAGGTAAAACTACCCCGCAGCCCCCTGGACGGCCCCCCGCTGTCTCTGGTCACGTCGACAAACAGCAACGCAGGCAACGGGCACAGTCAACCCGACGACAAAGAGAAGGACCACAAGCTAGACTTATCCTCGAGCGGAGACGTGAAGCCCAAGTCGAAGGTGACGGATATGTCCGACGGCAGCGACCTGGAGGACGTCAACACCACCAGCGGAACGGACCTGGACACAACCACGGGCACGGCGTCCGGGGAAGGGTCGGATCTGGAGAGCGAGGGCGACAGCGAACGGGAACGCAGTAAGAGGAGAAAGCCATCGGGGGCAGCAATGAGCCAGGAGGGCAGCCAGCCGGACGACACGAACAGTACGTTGGCGTCTGCGGTGTCTAGTTCCGGAAACCTCTCCATCGAACGTTCCTTTCTGAATGCCTCCTCTCAGCCGTCCTTCTTCCCTCCTCCCGACGAACAAGCCCTCCCGCCCACATCCACGAACGCCAACGCCGCGGCGACAGACTCCATCAAAGCCATCGCGTCCATCGCAGAGAAATACTTCGGCCCGGGTTTGATCGGTTTGCATCAGGAGAAGAAGATGGGGCCCTTACCTTACCATTCGATGTTCCCGTTCCAGTTCTTGCCCAACTTCCACAACTCGCTATACCCATTTGCAGCGGAGCGTGGCGGACTCAATCCTAGCATGTTCTTCAAGTCTGAGCCCAAATCGCCGCGGGAGCACTTACACAAAATCGGCGGGCATCTTGCATCGTCGGCCGAGTCGCCATTCGATCTCACAACGAAACCCAAGGAGCCCAAACTTCCCCCACCCGCGCCAACAAACCCACCCCACAACAACAGTAGCACCGGCAGCAGTAGCGGACCTCGGGCGCCCTCTACTGGGGACGAACAGCCATTGGATCTTAGCATCGGCACGCGCAGTCGGACGGGGCAGAACGGCGTGGCTGCGGAACTGCCAAATCGCAAAAACCACATCTACAGTGTTGGGAAAAGTTTGTCGGCGAAAGAGGACAGCCTTGCCGCGTTCCCGCACCTTCATCCCCAGTCGCTGCACCAGTCCATGAGCCAGCACCAGCAGCCCCCCTCGCAACCCCCACAACCTCCGCCCCTGCACTACGCCAAGCCCTCGGCCTTCTTCATGGACCCCATATACAGGTATTTCAGCCCGATTAGACCAAAGCAGCACCATAATCTGTGTATTATTCGTTCATTTGAATATGAAAACAAAAGTAAGAAAATGAAAAAAAAAACAGCTACTTTCTTCATTATTTGTCTCCAAAACCAAAATGAAAAAATAGGTAACGATTCATTTTTTCAGTTTTCGATTTTCTGCTTAAATGAATAATGGGAAAAAAGGGATAATGGCCGTTTTCCGTTTACATGACTTAAAAAGCGATGCCGGACTTTTGCACCGCATACGGACAGAATCAGGACTAAACCAGGTCCTGGACCAGGCCCAAACCAGACCGGGACTGTGACCAGGACTTAGACCGGGACCAGACCAGAACTGAGACCAGGACTGAGACCAGGACTGAGGCTGGGACCAGACCAGGACCAGACCAGAACTGAGACCGGGAATAGGACCAGGACTGAGACTAGGACCGAGACTGGACCAGACCGGGGCTGAGACCGGGACTGTGGCCGGGACCAGACTCGGACCAGACTGTGATTGAAACCGGAACTGAGATCGGTGCCAGACCAGGACCAAAAACGGTTTAGTCCTGGTTTAGTCCTGTTTTAGTCCTGTTTAATCCTGGTTCAGGCCTGGTTCAATCCGGCATCGCAGTTTCAGTCACGAAAACGGGAAACGGTCATCATCCGTTTTTTTCCATTTTTCATTTAAACACAAAATCGAAAACTGAATCATTATCTGTTTTTTCATTTTGGGTTTGGAGACAAATAATTAAGAAAATGGTTGTTTTTTCATTTTCTTATTTTTGGTTTTATATTGAAAAACAAATGAATGAATTATACACAGATTCATCATGTTAACAGCATTTTTTAAAAGCTTTGCCCCGATGTAAACTATTAAATTAATATTAGTTTGTAGCTAAAATACATGGAGGGTGGTTTCAGATTTTTGCTCCAAAAACGTCAACGAAAGGGACTACCTATAAAATATTTTGTTGTTTTACCCGCAAGCATTCTCATGTAAACAGGCCCCTAAACGTGAAAAAGGTTTAAGTAGAAGTACAAAATTCACTTAAAATATTAACATGACCTCTTCAAAAATTTTATGTTTAATATTTTTATGATAGATAATCTTAAAATATAAACTGCTTTCATCAACAAAATAGTTAAATGGAAAAGAGCGACATAATAAATAACATGATAATTTAAAATCACAATCAACACTTACATTTATTAGTGTTGGACTCAGTTGTTAGAGCTATATCAAAATATGCTTTTTTAAAATCGAAAGTGGGTACAAAAGTGTTTAATTTAGACTTGACTTAAGAAATGAAAGTGAGTGAAAGTGATGTGGTCGTGGTACGTAACCCTCTGCCTTGCTGTTGGTCCAGCAGGGTGGAGAAGAGGAAGCTGCTGGACCCAGTGGGCGCTCTCAAGGAGAAGTTCCTGCGACCGTCCCCTCCACTTTTCCACACGCAGGTAAAAGAACACACTCGAGTCGGTTCCATTTTGAAGGATTGTTTTATTATTATTTCAGAAGTGTATTTAAGTCAGACAGGGGTATGACAAGAGTTAACCAAATTTAAAACAATTTGCTCGAAATTTGTACCTGTCTGCTGCTCCACTTTTTGACGGCAGTGACATTTACGGCAATGTTGTGACCTACCGCCGTTTTGTTCTTACCTGTGAGTGGGGTTTGCTATCTCGGCAATGAGTTTTACCCACAACTGCAGTGCGGTTTGAGTATTTGCCTATCAGATCATTAGTCGGCAGGTTCATTTCAGCTCCAATCAGTGCACACAGCTGTTGTGTCCTTAGGCAAGACACTTTGGTTGGAGGGTGGAGGCCATGGCACAGGTTGACAGCCTCACTCCAGTCAGAGGAGCTTAAAGTGAGCGTTAGAGTGAATGAGCAATGCCTGTGTGTTGAAAAAAAGCACAATAAAATCTACTTTCAATAAAATATAAAATGCTACCGTCTTAAAAACTTGAAAAACAGAACAAGTTCATTTTCAACGGTTTGCAGTGGTTCAAAATTATTCCTCATTTACCTTATGAGTTCAGAGGCATCCTAATTATTCACTGTGATGAGTTTATAACCACTTTTCAAAACTTTCAGAGAAGAAATCAGAGAAGGGTGACCAGATGTCCCTGTTGACCCAAAATCCACTTTATTTATTGACAAATTTGACCAAAGTGCTGTTCACAAAGTTAAAAAGCATATGTATAATGCAATGAAAAAATATATACAACAATTATTGTAATAACAACAGAGGTGGGACCAAATCGTAGTTTTGCAAGTCTCAAATAAATCTCAAGTCTTTGACCTCAAGTCTGACTCAAGTCCCAAGTTAAATACAGGCAAGTCCAAGTCGAGTCTTGAGTCACTGAAGTCTGCTTTGAGCTTCAAGTCATTTCAAGTCTTTAAACCAAAGTACCAATTTTTTGCAATTTATATGAATTTTAAACTAAATTGTACTTAAAAAAAATCATGGTTTATTTATATATGAATATTTATATAAGAGCTTGTAAAAATTAAATTAGTATTTTTTTTCCATTTTAAATGTCTTGACAAGATCTTAGTATGAATCATTTTGGTCAGAAAGAAGATTTAGATTCAGATTTAAAAGTGCTTCTCAAGTCTTCTCAAATCACAGGCCTCAAGTCCAAGTCAAGTTGCGAGTCATTCACCTTCAAGTCGAGTCCCAAGTCTTAGTCCATTTTATCAAGTCAAGTCTCAAGTCCTAAAAATACTGACTCAAGACTGATTTGAGTCCAAGTCACGACTTGCAAGTCCCCACCTCTGCTGAACAGTAAAAGACCTCAAAACTTGTTAAAAGCCAAAGAAGACAAGTGTGTTTTAAGAACTGATTAAAAAGCACAAAGCGAGTCAGCTTGTCGAATGTGAATAGGCCAGTCATTCCATAATTTAGGCCCAACAACAGAAATTTCTGAGCAGTTTTGAGGCTTGTGTCCTCTGTCCCAGCAGAGACTTAAACCACTCATTTGTCACAGTCACTGTTGGGGAGTAATGGATTACATGTACCAGCGTTACGTAGCAGGTACCAGGTCTAAACTAGGACTAAAACCAGGACTAAACTCGGACTAAAACCAGGACTAAAACCAGGTCTTAACCAGGACTAAACCAGGTCTAAACCAGGATGAAACAGGACTAAACCAGGTCTAAAAAAGGACTAAACTAGGTCTAAACCAGAAGTAAACCAGGATGAAACCAGGACTAAACCAGGTCTAATCCAGGACTAAAACCAGGACTAAACCAGGTCTAAACCAGGACTAAACTAGGTCTTAACCAGGATGAAACCAGGACTAAACCAGGTCTAAACCAGGACTAAAACCAGGACTAAACCAGGACTAAAACCAGGACTAAAACCAGATCTTAACCAGGACTAAACCAGGTCTAAACCAGGATGAAACCAGGACTAAACCAGGTCTAAACCAGGACTAAACTAGGTCTAAACCAGGATAAACCAGGACTAAAACCAGATCTTAACCAGGACTAAACCAGGTCTAAACCAGGATGAAACCAGGACTAAACCAGGTCTAAACCAGGACTAAACTAGGTCTAAACCAGGAGTGAAACCAGGATGAAACCAGGACTAAACCAGGTCTAATCCAGGACTAAAACCAGGACTAAACCAGGTCTAAACCAGGACTAAACTAGGTCTTAACCAGGATGAAACCAGGACTAAACCAGGTCTAAACCAGGACTAAAACCAGGACTAAAACCAGGACTAAACCAAGTCTAAACCACTTTAAGTAATTTAATGGATTCTGTTACAAACTACATTTTGGGGTATGTAATCTGTAATCTGTAGGGGAATACATTTTAAAAGTAACTTTCCCAACACTGGTCCCAGTTTTGTAAAAAAAAATAAAATGTCCCAGATGTCCCTATTTTTGACCAACTTGATGTCCGCCAACAGCAAAGCAGCGAATACATTGCTGCACACAAACCGTGCTTAAAAATGACCTAAAAGCAAAAAAATGTGCAGAACGGACTATGTTCCGCACTCTTTTCTTAGTATCATTTATCCAAACCATCCCAACTCAGGTGTGTCCCAGTTTTGAATTCTGAAAATCTGCTCAGACTGGATCAGAGTAGAGTTTTGCTGTCCAACAACTAGCATGCGAGCGTGAAAAGGAATCAGGTACAGGCCCATTAATGAGTCATGCACATGTTTGTTTTGAATACTTAGCCACAGGATATGGTCCAAAACACACCACAGACAAAAGCTTAGGAGCAACTGACATACGAAGGAAAAGGTAACGCAACAATACGCGTTTAAATTGGCGTCCCTCGTTATATATTTTTGTTTTTTTTATACTTCTCGCAGCCAGTAGGTCCATAAATCTCCCAGTATGTGCTTTTACTGTGGTGGCTGAGCTGGCTGCGTGGATAATAGCAGCATGTCTATCAAGGACTTCCTGTGTTTGTGTCCCAGAGAATGGGGGGCTCTGGGGGGGAAGCGGTTTAATCTGACCTGGAAATCTATGTCCTCTTTCAACCGTGACGCTGCAATGGCCAAACATTCATTAAACCGGTTAATAAATGACGGCGAAACATTTGAAAGTACGAGGAATTGTTATGAAGCCCAGGCCCGGCGGGGTTTGAAGAAAGTATGGTGTGCTCGCTCGGTGTATATGTATATTTGAGGTCTTTCAAAATAAGAGAATGTCAACAATTTTATTTTGAAAGATAAAACTTAAGTGCTGATGTAAGTCACTATTATAATAATTAGTAGTAGTAGTAGTAGTAGTAGTAGTGGTGGTGGTGGTGGTGGTAGTAGTAGTAGTTGTGGTAGTAATAGTAGTAGTAGCGGTAGTAGTAGTGGTAGTAATGGTAGTAGTTGTTGTGGTAGTAGTAGTAGTAGTAGCGGTAGTAGTAGTGGTAGTGGTAGTGGTAAATGTGGTAGTAGTATTAGTAGTAGTAGTAGCAGCAGCAGTAGTAGTAGCAGCAGTAGTAGTAGTAGTAGTAGTAGTAATAATAGTAATAGTAGTAGTAGTAGTACTTGTAGTGGTAATTACTCATAACCAAAAAAAATAACAAAAAAGTACTTCCTCAAAATGCTACTCTACTACTACAGCAAGTACTACTAAAAAGTTCCTGTCACTGCTACTACTTCTATTGCAGCTACTTATAATTTAGACTAATAATTTGCACTAAGTACTTTTAAAAAAAAATATCTACTACTACTGCTTTTGAAAGTGAATACAGCTGCTACTTTGATTACTACTAATACTGCTTTAAAATAATTGCTCGGTGTATGTAACTGTACATACCCGGTAAGTAGCAGTAAAAGTGTTCGTACTGATCACTAAATTACTACAGAGTACACAAAATACTACTCTACTACTGCTATTTGAAAGAGAACGTACGACTACTACTTCTACTACTACTACACACTACTACACTCAATATAATATTATTCAGTATACACCCTTCTCATTCAGCATGTTTGTTTGTTTTTTTCTTTGTTTACCATTTTGTACTTTTTAAATACATACTAAAGGTATGAAAAATATGAAGAAAAATGTGTGGAATTATGTAGTAAAGAAAAAATTAAATAACTCAGCTAAATATGTTTTATATTTTCCATTCAAATCCTCACAGTATCCACCTTTTGTTTTGTTGACAGTGCTGTTTTTTTTTTTTTAATTTAAAAATATTTTTATCAGTCTAAAGCAAGTTTTGACATGTTTTGATTTTATTCTTTGTTTACTACACTCCATATATGTCATTTATAGTTTGAATACTTTTAGATTGTACTTCAATAATAGTTTAAAGAATCAATATAGTATTGATAACCACTTTAAATTTGTTTCACTGCTTTTTAAAGAATGTCTATCATTAAATCTATCACCACAAGAGCAGAGTTTAGTAAAGTAAATTACATAATAAATACCGTAATGTAAGTAGTAGTAGTAGTAGTAGTAGTAGTAGTCGTAGTACATTCTGAGTTAGTAGCAATAAATATATGCTTATTAATAATTGCTACTCTACTTACTGCTATTTAATTAATTTATTCATTAATCATTGCATTTATAAAGCGCCTTTCAAGATACTCAAAGACGCTTTACAGATCATTATTCATTCACTCCACACTCACACACAGACCACTTTCATACTGGGCAATGTGGGTGAAGTGTCTTGCCTAAGGACACAATGACAGTTTTTGCGACTGGCGCCCCCCTGTGGCTCCTGGAATTCCCAGTGTCTGTATGTTAATAATAAAAATACACATTTGAAAGTGATTGTAAGACTTCTAGTACGACTGTTAGGTTAGAATTATATTATTAAGCACATGTAACTTAGTAATAGTACATGTGTTAGTACTAATCACTAAAGTATTTAGTGAAAAGTGACAGTGAATTTAAGATTTCTAATACTACTGTTAGGTCAAAATTATATTATTAAAATATTATTAATAAATTGCCACAAAGTACTTATTGAAAATATACTATTAATATAAATAAAATACCTTAAATACATATACTATATTTTGGTTTAAAGACTTGAAATGACTTGAAGCTCAAAGCAGACGACTTGGACTTGACCAGTAACTCGAGACTCGACATGTACTTGCCTGTATTTGACTCGGACTTGAGGTCAAAGACTTACTTGAGACTTGCAAAACAGTGACTCTGATCCCTAGTATTACTTCTACTTCAAAGTGATTATACGGTTATACTTTTACTACAACTGCCGCGCCTACTTTTAATGGAAATACAAGTAAATATACCTCAGGACTGCTAACCCAACAAATAAATAATGGGCCACATGACGATGAATGAATTCCCAGGCTTCCAGCTGTGATTCTCCCAGCCGATCTAAACAATGCCAGCGCTAATTCAGTGATATGACGACATCCAGCTCCGGGCCTGTCTGTCCCGTCCCGCACTCTTCTGTAATAGAGGAAGGATGTAGGCTGTTTTTCACAAATAAACTCCGTATCAGCCCTCGTCTGTTCCCAAGCTCGTCCGAAGGCTCCGCGCCGCGCAGTCTCTCCCCATTGTCCCCTACGATGCCTTTAATTGTGCTCTTGAATTCTTGGTTTGGTCTGGGAGAGTGCAGGTCCGACGAGAACAAAGTGAGACGGAATGAGGGGAGATGTTTATAGATATAAGTCGCGCTCAGGTGGAATTAAAGCTGCACTGTGTAGCTTTTCTATTGGAGGGGCCGACATCTGCTTCAGTCCAATCCACTTTATTTCTATAGCACATTTTTTAAACATGACAGTTTCCAAAGTGCTGCACAGACAAATTAATACAATAAAATACATTAAATTATAAATAAAAACAATACATTAAAAAGTGATAATGCATAAAGCAAAATAAAAAAAAAAAAAAAATAAATAAAATCATGTTGTGATTTAGGGATATATCATCTTTAAATCGCCAAGAGTATATTGTGGTATATTTAACGAAATTATTTTGTTACTGCGCTACAGTTTTGTTGCTTGTTTAGAGGAAGGAAACTTTTTTATGCAACACATTTGACTGTTTTGATGATTAAAATTAGCGTTTCATATGAACTTTGCACAAGAAGTGGTTTAACAAAGACTTTTAGCATCACAGCCAGGATTTAGTTTTTATTTTTACTGAACTGTATTGAATCGATTTGAAATATATCGTATTGAATTGTATCGAATCGAAAGCTCACTGTATCGAGATATGTATCTTATCTTATCTTATCGTGGCCTATGTATCAAGGTATTGTATGTATTGTATCGCCAACTTCAAAATGATACCCTGCCCTAGTTGGGATGTTATTGCTTTGCCTGGGATGTTCCACAGTATGGCATTAAACAAAGACATCTTGTATTACTTGATTACCAGTGTTTTTATTTCTTAAAACTATCACAAAAAACATGCATTATTATTGTGAGCAGATCCACTTCTCCACAGATCTGACCTGGAAGTTGGCCTGGTGATGTGGGCTGCTTGTCTCCATGGAGACAGTTAAATTAAATACCAGATCATTTTAGAAAAAAAAAAACATGGAACACGCAAAATTGACTCTTGTGAGCTTCAAATCATGTTATCATGTTGTTACCTCATCAAAAACAGACCTGGAGTTGTGTTTTGTTTCATTCACACGTGTTCGAGCAACACTTTATTATTAGTCTGTCAAGCTCAAAATGGTCTGTTCCACCTTGTGATGTCATGAAGAGGTAGTTTTGAGGTTAACAGACACGTTTTATCTTTAGTTCAGTAGAGATCGGCAATTCCAGTGTTAATGTACCTGTTTAAAAATGTACTTAAAGAGTAAAAAGTAAAAGTATTTTGGGTAGATTTTGAAATCTAATAAAGCTTCAAATGTAGTAATCTTCTGTATTATTGTGTATTGTGATTTATTCGATTACCGGTGTTTTTATTTCTTAAAAATATCACAAAAAATCTTGCATTATTATTGTGAGCAGATCCACTTCTCCACAGATCTGACCTGGAACTTGGCCTGGTGATGTGGGATGCTTGTCTCCATGGAGATAGTTCAATTAAATACCATACTGTAGATCATTTCAGAGAAAAACACAGGGTCGCAGTGGTGGACTTTCTACCAGAAAAGTTACACGGTGCATCTTTAAAGGTCCTTTATGATGCAAAATTGAGCTTTAAGTTAAGTTTTAATCTTGTTACTTCATCAAAAAAGACCTGGAGTTATGTTTTGTTCCATTCACACATGTTTGAAATGGTCTGTCTCACCTTTTGATGTCATGAAGTGGTAGTTTTTTGGACTTTCATGGACTTAGAGAATAAAGTCAAATGTAAAGTATTTTGCACAGATTTTCAGATTTAAAAAAGCTTCATGTTGTGATTTTGATACAGATTTGTGCAGAATTTTGTGCAAAGAAACAACTTAAGTGATCTGTTTTGCTCTCATCTGTTTTGATTTGTTTATGTGTTGTTTGTTATTGTAAAGTAAAAGTAAAAAATAATCCACTCAAGTAAACCACAGATACCTAAAAAGTGTAGGAATGTACTACTTTTACTTGTATGTTCTAGTGTTTTTTCTGCTCTCTGTGTCTCTGTGTGCTCCGGTTTCCTCACACTTTGTTGTTGTTGTTTTGTTTTTGTTTTCCCGGTGTGTAGATGTCTGCGATGGAGAACATGACGGAGAAGCTGGAGAGTTTTGGGGCGTTGAAGTTGGACGGTCCTCCGAGCTCCCTGCAGCACTCCTCACACCCGCTCTTCAACTTCCGCTCGCCGCCGCCCTCCCTCTCCGACGCCATCCTGCGCAAGGGCAAGGAGCGCTACGCCTGCAGGTAACACCACCAGTACTACTACTACAAATACTACTAATACTACAAATACAAGGAGCGCTACGCCTGCAGGTAACACCACCAGTACTACTACTACAAATACTACTAATACTACAAATACAAGGAGCGCTACGCCTGCAGGTAACACCACCAGTACTACTACTACAAATACTACTAATACTACAAATACAAGGAGCGCTACGCCTGCAGGTAACACCACCAGTACTACTACTACAAATACTACTAATACTACAAATACAAGGAGCGCTACGCCTGCAGGTAACACCACCAGTACTACTACTACAAATACTACTAATACTACAAATACAAGGAGCGCTACGCCTGCAGGTAACACCACCAGTACTACTACTACAAATACTACTAATACTACAAATACAAGGAGCGCTACGCCTGCAGGTAACACCACCAGTACTACTACTACAAATACTACTAATACTACAAATACAAGGAGCGCTACGCCTGCAGGTAACACCACCAGTACTACTACTACAAATACTACTAATACTACAAATACAAGGAGCGCTACGCCTGCAGGTAACACAGTGAATACTACTATGAATACTACTACTAATACTACAAATACAAGGAGCGCTACGCCTGCAGGTAACACAATGAATACTACTATGAATACTAATACTACAAATACAAGGAGCGCTACGCCTGCAGGTAACACAATGAATACTACTACGAATACTACTACTAATACTACAAATACAAGGAGCGCTACGCCTGCAGGTAACACCACCAGTACTACTACTACAAATACTACTAATACTACAAAGGCAAGGAGCGCTACACCTGCAGGTAACACGACTAATACTAATACAAATACTACTATAAATACTACAGATACAAGGAGCGCTACGCCTGCAGGTAACACCACCAATACTACTACTACTACTACTACTACTACTACAAATACTACTTATACTACTAATACTACAAATACAAGGAGCGCTACGCCTGCAGGTAACACCACCAATACTACTACTACTACTACTACTACTACTACAAATACTACTTATACTACAAATACTGCAAATGCAAGGAGCACTACACCTGCAGGTAACACGATAAATACTACTACTTCTACTACTACTACTACTACAACTACTAATACTACTAATACAAGGAGAGCTACGCCTGTAGGTAACAGCCCTAATGCTGCTGCTACTACTACTACTACTACTACTACTACTACTATTATTACTATTACTACTAAAACTAAGACTAAAACTAATACTACAGCAGATAACAAGACTATTGCTACTACTACTACTACAAATACTACTACTAATGCTGCTACTACTACTACTGTTACTACTATTACTACTAATACAAGGCTACTACTAACACTACGCCTGCAGGTAACACGACTAATGCTACTACTACTATTACTACCACAACTATTTCTGCTACTCTAACTAGTTTGACAACAGTACTACTACTGCTACAACTGCTATAACTACTACTACACTGCTACTCCTATACTAATGCACTACTACTACTACTACTATTACTACTATTACAACTAAACTACTGCAGCTACTATTACCACCACCTCCACCACTACTACTGTTACTGCTTCCAAATTACCTCAGTCCCGTTACTATCATGTCGATGGATGTTTATGTGAACCTGTGTAAAGTTTTTTGTTAGTCATTTCTGTTGTTTTAATCTGTGTTTTGTCTTTCTGATTACTTCAGGTACTGTGGGAAAATCTTCCCTCGATCGGCAAACCTCACCCGGCATCTACGGACGCACACCGGAGAACAGCCCTACAGGTACAGCTCAGAGGGACAGTTATATGGACAGCACGCTGGAGTCTGTATATCTGCATCTATATTTATGATTGTCAACATAATGAAACTATGGCAACATTTAAATTCTAATATTCTAAATTATTATTTTTTAGATATTTTTGATATTATCTTGAATATACAGTAATAGTTCATTGTCTCAGTAGCTTTGTTTACATCACCAAACGTCTGATCATTGTCGGGTTTCTGGAGTTGTCATGGAGTTGTAGTAGTAGTAGTAGTTTATTTTCTTCAGTCATGTACTTAATCATAGAGTGTTACAAACATTTCACATAAAAATATGATCAAAGAAAGTAAAGTCACTTCTGAATGCCTGACCCCGTTTACGATGTGACGATGTGACGGCAAGAATACGACTGTCAGCAGACAACAAACAACAACTTCAATAGCACCGAGAAAAGAGGAAAAAAATTAATAACATTTGGGAACTGGAAACTGTTAAATCTGATGTGTGTAATCCGATTTCCAAGTTTTGCTCGGACAGTTTTGCAAAAAATGGCAAACGAATGTGGCAAAGACGAAAATGAAATTGAAAACGTCAAAGGTGTACTGTGTAACTTTTCTGGTGCAGGGTCCAACACCTGCTCGTCTCCATGGAAATGTCTCGAATTTTGTCTCGAATGTCCCGGTGTGACATTAAACGTATCCATCTTTTTTTGTTTTTATTGATCTTAAAATCTTCCATTCTTGCTTTGAATGACATGTAACTTGACCCATGGAATCATCCGCTGTGTGCATAGAGATAAATAAGTGTAATGCCATACTGTGGAACATTCCAGACCATGGAGAGAAGCACTTGACGGACCCTCCACCAGAAAAATTACACAGTGCACCTTTAAAGCTTGAAAGAGTTATTTGAAAATTCATTGTACTTTGCCGTCGAAATACGACAGTTACACTAAAAACCCGTCAGATTTCTCTTAAACACAAGCACACAAAAATCAGATTACCGGGTTATCTGACTACTCTAGTGATCTGATTTTACTGACCTTGTTGTGTCTCGCAGGTGTAAATACTGTGACCGCTCCTTCAGCATCTCGTCGAACCTCCAGCGTCACGTCCGAAACATCCACAACAAAGAGAAGCCCTTCAAGTGTCACCTGTGCAACCGCTGCTTCGGCCAACAGACCAACCTGGACCGTCACCTCAAGAAGCACGAGCACGAGAACATACCAGGTGCAACTCAAAATCCAAATGCACTTTATTTATATAGCACATTTTACAAGCAAAGCAGTTTCCAAAGAACACAAAATGAAGACAACAAAAGTAAATTGCTAAAAATGTGATCATACCAGTCCTACAACAATAAAACCAGTAAAAAACAAATAAAAGCAAAACCATAAACAATCATAAAATAGAAATAAATAAAATAAAAGACACAAAGAACCAGACAACTCACATGGTGTTAAAAGTCAGAGAATAAAAGTGGGTCTTAAGACGGTACTACAAGAAGATACCACACACGCTCAGCTTTTATTTAATAATAATAATAATAATATTTATTTATAAAACGGTTTTCGTGCTTGTGAACAATTCAAGGTGCTTTCCAGAGGCATCATAAACATTACAACGTTAGAAATAATTTAAAAAACTAGTGTTGCAGTACTCAAGACCGACCTCATGACCGCTTTTTTATGGTCTTGGTCTCATCTTTGGACTCTAGTGCATTTGGACTCGGTCTTGTCTTGGACTCGAGGCTGCAAAATCAGTAAGAGAATGTAACTGTAAATGTTAATAATTTGAAAAAAAACTCACTTGATTCACTTTGAAGTTATTTTCTGTAAAGTTCCAGTGGAAGCGGGATTAAAGAAGAGGTTCTCAAACTGTGGCTCAGGGTCCAAAAAGGGGGGGTTTAAGTGCAGTACAGTTTGCTTGGCCTATTTTAAGCCTAAATGAATATTAATCAGATCAAATGGAGATAAATGGAGATTTATTTAAAAAAAAAAACACTGATATACATGCACCAAAATACAAATAAATGAAGGAAATGACAAAGATGGTCTCGATTTGGTTTTGACCTTTAAAGGTTTCGGTCGTGTCTCAGTCTCGGCCCTCAGAGGTCTTGGTCTTGTCCTGGTCTTGGGACCCTGTGGTCTCAGACTGGTCTTGGTCTCGATTAGTGCAGTCTTGACTACAACACTAAATAAAACAGTGCAATACAGAAGACAATTAATAATAGCAGAAGAACACAATAGCCCATTTAGAGCAAATAAATTAGAATCATCCAGATTAGTTGAATACTGATTTATAAAAATGTTTTTTAAGTTTAGTTTTGAACGATTTCAGAGAGCTGGCTTCTCTGATCTGAGGGGAGCGAGTTTCAAAGAGTTGGGGTGTAAATTATAAAAGCAGCATTCCCAATCTTTTTCCTCTATTCTTACAGATTTGGTTAAATGTTTGGTTTTATCATGCAATTTTAACAACAAAAAATTAACCTGGTATTTGCTTTGCGTTGTACAAATAAATAATTTCTTCAATACTACAAAAAAAATCAGTGCATGAAAAGCAAGATTTAAAGTAATTTTTTATTACTTTATTACTTACTATTTAATATTATGATATACTTAAGGTTTATTTTGTTCAACCCAAATCAACAGACATTGCACCTGGCTGCTGTCACCACTAGGGGGAACTGTTGCTCATCAAACTGCATGTACTACTCCTGAAACTGCAAACTATTATTTTGACCAAAGCTCTTCTCATCTCCTAAATAAAACAAGAGGATTCAAAAATATTCAACCACACATAATTAAGAATTCTTTTTGTGTTGTTCTTTCAGTCATATAGTAGTGTAGTGTAGTTTTTGTGTTTTCTGTCTGACCCTGGTTGTGTTCTTGTCCGCAGTGAGCCAGCAGTCAGGGATGTTGTCCAATTTAGGAACCACCATCTCGTCCCCGAACTCAGAGCCAGACAATCACGCACTTTTAGACGAGAAGGAGGACTCGTACTTCTCTGAAATACGCAACTTCATCTCCAACAGCGAAGTCAACCAGGCCTCCAGCTCCACGGACAAGAGGTAAAACACACACACACGTAATCTGTATATTAAAATGTTACATATTGTGGCTTTAAAAGAGCACTATGTAATGTTTTGGTGCTTTTTCTATGGATATGTCATCGCTCTGCTTGGAATGTTCCACAGTTTGACATTAAACAGCTCTACTTAACATTTATTCAATTACAAATGGTTTTATAGCTCCAAAAAATATAAAAACAGGCATTCTGACTGTGAGCGGGGTCGCCTCTCCACAGATCTGACCTGTAACTTGGTCTGGTTTGGTCTCCATGAAGAGAGAAAGGTTTAATGCCATACTGTGAAACATTCCAGACCAGATCTCCATGAGGAAAAGTTTTAAAAAGTAATAATAATGAGCACGTAAGATTTTTTTATACACAAAAATGACCAGCAGAGGGCACAAGAGCTCCACTCGGATGTGAAGCAGTTCAAATCAACCTAAAGACAATAATAGTAAGAATAAATCTGAGTCTGGTGACAGTGCATCGGTTTAAAAAATAAATGCAGATAAAGTTATTATTGGTTAAACAAAAAGTTGGTGGTTCGAATCCCACCAGTCTCCATACACACACAAAGTTGGGTTTCCATGTATTAGATTGACCTACATTAATTTGCTGGAGCCTAGATCATCTTAATCTAACCCAAACCTTAAAATTCGTCTTCTTATCCTAAATTAACCCATGTATTAACTTTTAAACCACGTCATGGATCTAATAATTCAGGCCCCGTTTATGTATATACAAGTATTTTTAAAAACTGAGACATTTCCCTTCATTTGTACCCCTCTTTTACATGCAAATGGCAAATTTGCCTCTGAAAATCTTTCTAAAAATTCCGGCTAGAGTGGAGATTCTGGAAAAACTACATGTTTTAGGAGCTGACGTGCCAAATGTGTGACCAATGTTTCCCTTTTGCTCTGATGATGATCATGAAGCATCAGAGCATTGGTCACATTTCTTCTGGTGCAAACACTTTTCATGTGTTTGCATTTGCACACACAGCTGATGTTTCATATCCATGACCAGAGACGACTGAGCTCGGAGATTGGCAATATTACCACTTCTTTAACAGATCTGTGGAGAGGTGAACCCGCTCAGTAATGCACGTTTTGTCAAGGTATTTTTGAGTAATACTTACAACTGTAATGAAATAAACGCTACAGGTTTGAACCTAATCCAGGTGTCACCCAGAGACTTGGTGTAGTTATGACAGCACTCGATGACATATTGATGCAAACAAATGGCGTTGATGGCGTTTGATGGTGTTGATGTAAACAAAAACTTTTCTGAAAACAATGCTCACAATGTGCATGATGTTATTTTGGAAAACGGAGGGAGGGAAATATTAGTTTTTCAGTATAATCGTAGACATGCTTTTTACCATGTTTTAACGTTGTTCCCTCATCAACAACACACCTAAAGAGGCTTTAGATGTCGTCAGTGCATGTTTGAGTTATTTAGTGATCTTTGCTGGGCCCTATTCAAACCCTCTTTACATTTAGCTCTAAGATTCTGTCCAGTGTACCACCCATAAACATGACAATTCTCTATAAATTTACAAAAACATGACACACAACTGCACACAACAACTTCGCAAATCTGACTATATATATGGAGTATAAGTCACAACAGCCAAAAAATGCATAATGTTGTCCCAAGTTTCTCGTTCATTTCCAAACTTTTTTTTTTTTTGCTGCTCGATTACCTTTTTCAGCTGCAGATTTCACGACTTGCAGCTTGTAATCTGCAAAATATGATTTTCTTTTTGGGGGCATTTGTGTTCAGTCTTCTCAGTCGTCTTTATAAGTTTGTTTAAATAGTTAAATTGTTCAGTGGTGCAGAAGTAATGGCGCGATCGACTGACATGAAACAGACAGAACAGAGGCTCTTTCTGCAGGAGACATGCACAGTAGAGCCAAATGACATTGGCAGTTTAATATATAAGTCGCAGGATTACCCAAACCATGAAAAAAATTGCAACTTATAGTCCAAAAAATACTGTATTTTCATGAGCAGGAAGCATACCGTTCCCCCCGTGCTCAGAAGGGGGTGTGACTTGGCGTGGAGAGCAACAGGAGTGGAGACTCAGAACGTCAATGAAAGCCAAATTGATAAAGCATTTTCAAAAAAACAATAAAAGGTAACACGGCGATTTGAATATAAGTCAAACGCCACCTTTTTGCCTTATGAGGACCACATTTTTGGACCTCACAATGCACAATGTCCTTTTGAAATGAGTGTGTACAGACTTCAGCCCCCACAAAGTGATGAATACTTTGAGGGTTTTTTTTGTCGTCGAAGTATGCTATGACAACCCATGAAACGTTAGACCCTCCTTTGACTATATAAGTTAAAAGTATTATTTATACATATTTGCTGTCCCCTCATCATTTACCAGCTCTCTGCTCTGTGTCTGGGCCGCCTGTCTGCTCTTAACCCCGGGGGGCATTACATTTGAAGCACACGTTCACTAAGATCCACCAGTACCCCCTCTCGGCTAACCCAAACACCATTCTGACATGTTTAGACTGAATGACACAAGCCAGGGCCCCGCTCGACTTTCCCCACCACCGCGATGGCAATTTGATTACAGTGATATTTAATATAGACCGAAAGAGGAGAACTTTTTCCAGCCAAAAGTCCCCCCCCCCCCCTAATTCACCACCCTGACCCTGTCCCCGTCCCAGAGGTGAGCCTGTCCCCTTTGATGAATGTCCAGTCTGGGCCAAAAACAACACGGAGGGGGCAGATGTGGGGGGGTCCCGGAGGAGGTGAAGTCATGGGGTTTGAAGCAGCGCTGGGCAGAGGGGGTACAGAAGCCAAAAACTGTACACAACGAAGAGTTTTAGAGTAATGTTACTTAAAAATAATAGTACTTCAAACTCTTATATTACACAAAATGGATTCTTGTGAGATTTAAGCTGTGTTATAATGTTGTTAACTCCTCAAAAACACCTAGAGTTGTTTTGTTTCATTCACACGTTTGAGTAATCCTGCATTATTAGTCTGCAGAGGTGGGACCAAGTCGTTGTTTTGCAAGTCTCAAGTAAATCTCAAGTCTTTGACCTCAAGTCCGAGTCAAGTCCCAAGTCAAATACAGCCAAGTCCAAGTCAAGTCTCGAGTCACTGGCGCATAAGTACAAGTCAAGTCCAAGTCGTCTGCTTTGAGCTTCAAGACATTTCAAGTCTTTAAACCAAAGTATTTTTTATTTTTTTATTTTACGTATTTATTTTGGGCAAGTAAAGATTTACATTCTTATACAATGGAACATATAACATAAGTGAAATCATAATAGAAATAAAAATAACCACAACAAAAAATATTTGCCCAAAAAGGAGTGGGAAGAAGAAAACCTATTTAATCCCACCCCCATTAAAGTACCAAAGTACCAAATATAGCTTTGGTCTTTGCAATTTATATGATTTTTAAGATAAATCGTACTTAAAAAAATAATAATAGTATATTTATATATGAGTATTTCTAGAGTATATAAAAGTTATGTTATTATGTTATTTTTTCCTTTTTAAATGTGTTGACAAGATATGTGAATCATTACGGTTAGAACAGAGAGAATTCAGATTTAAAAGTACTTCTCAAGTCACAGGCCTCAAGTCCAAGTCAAATCCCAAGTCTTAGTCCATTTTATCAAGTCAAATCTCAAGTCCTAAAAATACTGACTAAAAATAGTGACTCATGTCTGACTTGAGTCTACATCTAAAGCCCTAAAATTGTTTTTAAGTTAACAGCTTTTTTTTTTTTTTTTTACCTTTTGTTTACTATAGATTGGCAATTCCGGGGCTGCAATCATCCAAATTATTCTAGTGAAGGTGTATGGAGTTTAAAAACACAGTGGAGCACCTACTGCATTACCACATGACATCAGAAAATAGTGTAGCATAGGCCGTTTAAAGGTGCATTATGTAACTTTTCTGACGCAGGGTCCGTCCAGTTCTTGTCTCCGTGAAGATGTTATTGCTTTGTCTCGAATATTCCACAATTTGTCAACTGGACAAATGTTTATTTAGGTCGAAAACGTTTCACAGTTTGGATCAGTTTTGAACTCAGACCTGAAGAAGCAGCTTCGATGAGTTGCAACCTAAATAAACGTTTGTCCAGCTGAAAAACCTGGACGACTGAGGGATTCTACAGACTTTCTATTTTCATGGAGACCGAACCAGACCAAGTTACAGGTCAGATCTGTGGAGAGGCGACCCCGCTCACAGTCAGAATGCCTGTTTGTTTGTTTTTTAGGTATTTTTGTGCTATAAAACCACCTGTAATTGAGTAAATGTAAGGTAGAGCTGTTTAATGTCATACTGTGGAACATTTCAGAGAGCAATGACATATCCATAGAAACAAACAGGTGACGGACCCTCCACCAGAAAAGTTACACCTTTAAATACATCCATGAAATCTACTTTTGTTTGTAATATAATATCAAATTTGCGATAAAAGCAAAACTAAAATTCGTTGTCTTTTCAGGTCGGACACGGCGGAAGAAGAGCGCCCCCATGGCCACGGCGTGAGCACCTCCAAACTGGGCCTGCGGGGGCTGGAGGAGGAAGAGGAGGAGGTGGACGGAGACGACGAGGAGGAAGAGGAGGGCAGCCTGACGGAGCGTTCCCATGACGACGCGCCCGAGTCCCCCTGCCCGCTCACCGCCGGACCGCCCGACTCCCCGTGCCCCCTCACCGCCGGGGCGTCTCCGCTCACGACGGGGGCGTACGAAGAGGACGAAGAGGAGGAGGACCCCGCGCCACTAGCAATGAGCTACGAACACACGCGCAGGTGAGCTTTGGTTCGGTGGTGTTCTCTGAGGTGTCCATGGGGTTCAGAATGATGAAAAAGTAACAACCGTTGCCATAGCGATTAAACATTTTTTTTGGATGGGGGAAAAAGTTCTATAGCCTTAAGCTGCGTTCAGACCGGGGCGTTAAGGCGTCAAGTTTACATGCAAAGTCTATGTGGACGCGCATCTAGGGCGTTCTGCGTTTTGAGCTTTGGCGAGAATCTGTCGTCTACGTGTCGCATTTTGAGCGTTCAGGTGTCAGAAGTAGAAAAAGCTGAACTTTTGGCGTCAGACGTGCCATGTCAGCCAATCAGGGACGACTATCCAGTGACGTTGCGACATTATTATCTGGAAGGAAAAGAAAGAGAAAGAAGAAGACACAAACACCAGAACAAGAAATCTACGCCGTGTCATTAGCAGAGTATAAATATAAATACACACGCCACAACCGCCGAGCCGATCACCTTCTCTGATGGTTTTATGTAATAGATACCATATTTTCCGGGCTATTAGACGCGCTCTTAAGCTTCCAGGCCCCATCAAAAAACGACTGTATGCCCCACAATCCAGTGCGCCTTATACACAAATCCACTCAGGTGTCCCAGCACGACTTCAGTAAACTACAAAGCCGCACCACCCGCAGAACACGCAAACACACACGGAGCAGACAGCGACCGCACAGCGAAAAACACCCACAGCCACACTCATCACTCCGCACTGACGAGGAACTGAACGGAGGAACGAACCGAAAAAGCGAGTGCAATGTCCCACTTCTAGACACAACTGAACAACTGAGTCACTGCGAACACGCCGACAATCCAGCGGTCCCAGACAGCACCTCCCTACACGCCACAACTGAACAAAGCCCAGAGTCACTGTGAACGCACCAAACAAAGTCCCACTGACCCATCCAACTGTTGTGTTTCATTTAAAGTCCGGTGCGATTTATTGTGAAAAAAGTTTGAAAATAGACCATTTAATGACTTATTTTATAATCCAGAGCGCCTAATAACTCGGAAAATATGGTACACTAAAGTCACTCTCTCGAGCGGCAATTGGCATGTCAGATCTTTCCTGCGAATTTTACCCTGCATTCGATTATCCTTTCGAGACGGTTTTCCAAGGAAGTTGCCTAGTGACACATGATGCACCTCTTTTCCTGGGACAACGCGACTCTGAACTCGGCGGCAGAAAAAGTAAACCGAGCAAGAATTACGAGTGAGAATCCAAGATGGTTACAACCACTGTGACGTGTAGATATGAAGTGTTTTCATTGTGTTTGGACACTTTGGTGGTTTAAATGACAATTTCAGTCACTCGTATCACTGCAGTACTTTACCGCGTCCGTATCACTGCCTGTGGGTTTGGTAGTCGGTGTTGTGGTGAGGCCAATATTGAACAAATACTTGATTTAACGGGGTTTAACGTCACTAAGGTTGTAACGGAAGAGAAATCATAACATAAAATGAAGTGCAAATTCCAAAAATTTTATTAATTAAAGTGGCGTTTTCAAAAGACGAGCGAATAGTCATGATCATAATCCACGTAGTCCGACACGAAACATAATAATACACTTCAAGCTCGAACGTGACGTCAAATCCGAGATCCAAGTGGGAGTCGGAAGATAATCGAACGCAGGGTTACACTCTGAATTTTGACTGTCAAACTTGACGGCTTAAAAATATTTGTGCTGAATATTTAAAAGGTGACATTTTATTTTGAATTTTAAACACTTTGAAAATGTACACTTCAAGTAAAATTCAGAATAAAAATAATTCAAACATGCTTTTTGAGAAACTGATGAGGAAATAGCATTATAACAGATCAGAAAATAGCGTAATATGAGCCCTTTAAAAAAAAAAAACAACAATTACAAAACGCCACAATTCTTTCCTCTTATCTATACCTTCTCAAACTAAAATTCCTTTTCTCTGTCTAATAAGTTTTTCCTCTCTTTCCTCTTTGCCCTTCCATCTCATTGCACTGTAACCATCTCTCTCACCCCCCACATACGCCCCTTTCTCCCTGTGCTTGTCTGCTCCCCCTTCATGGCGCGCCCCACATTGCTGCGCAGGTGTTTGGAGGAGGGCTCTGCTGGATTTGGAGGGGCTGCCCAGTTTTCCCAAGGGCCTCCCGGGGCTGAGGAAAGGGCCCAGTGAGGAGCAGCCATTCGATGTTAAAGACATTTTTAACACTTCACTAGAGTCAGAGGCTTTGAAAGAGACTTTGTACAGACAGGCTAAAACACAGGTATGTGGTGGGTCCGAGTCACATAAGAAAAGAGGGATTTTAGCGTCTTGTTGTTGAAGGGGAAATGGTTTAAAGGTCCTATATTTTATGTAAATTTGTCTCTTGTGAGCTTTAACCCATGTTATAATGTTGTTATCTCATCAAAAACATATCTGGAGTTGTGTTTTTGTTTCATTCTCACATATTTGAGTAATCACAAAATGGAACAGAGTGTTTTCTGTTCTGCCTAAATATACAGGGTTTGTGTGTTGAACATGTGAAACAAAACACACCTCCAGGTCTGTTTGTGATGAGGAAACGCCATAGACAGTGTAAATACGGTCCTATTAATATAAAGATGATTCTGAGCCGCTCCTCTGTTGTGTTTCAGGCTTATGCAATGATGCTGTCTCTGTCGGAGAACAACCCTCTGCACGCTCCATCACAGAGCTCGCTGGACGCTTGGCTGAGTATGGGCGGAGGACCATCTGAGACGAGCAGCTTTCACCCACTCAACCACATCTGAGGCCGGGACAGAGGGGGACAGAGGGGGGTAGAGGGGGGTAGAGGGGATAGAGGGGGAGGAACAGAGGGGACAGGGGGACTGAGAGGATACAGGGGTGGGGGGGGGGGCGGGGGGCAGTGAGACGGGGGGACAGACGGACAGAGGACACAGGAGAGAGAGCACAAGTGAAGGAGACGCTGGGGTCTGAGACACAGAGACAGTCTCAGAGACAGAACGTCTCAGACCCTGTCCACATGAAGGACTGCTCTGATGTCCCCGCTCCACACAGACACTTGGAAAGACTGTACAGCCTCCACAAGCACTGCGTTTGTAATGCATGTCCACCAGGTGGCACTGTTTCACTGGAGTCAGCCTGGAGCATCGCATTGGACTGTCTCTCCCCACTGGTCACTGACTTCTCACTGATATTCTTTAAGTTGCAACTGCAGAATCAACATTAGCACCAGACTAATCCGACCATCACATGATTGGAATCATAGCACAGATGAAGCTGAAATGTGACTAAGTGATTTTATTGATCTCCCGTGTGAACATAATTCATTTGAATCAATTCTCATTTGCTTTTTTTTAGTTTAGACACCACAGTATTGTTTCAGCACGTCTGTGCTTCATGTTAATATTTCATTTCAGAGAAGGACCAAATTGTATGATACTGTCATGATGTAAAATAGTGGTAGCTGATCATGTGCCAAATAACCCATGGAATCCTTTGGTTCTCTGACAATCATTTGTTTTTCAGAGCGGCTCGTAGTTTTCACTTCACACAGAAGCATTGATTTTGTGAGTGTGTATTTATTAATTTGTAGATTTGTATTTGAAGTCATGACGTTTATCCCTATGTTGTAGAAGGAACCTTGTGTATCCAAACACAGCAGAGGTTCTGAATCTCTGCGTGCCAAATTGGAGACGCCCTTTAAGTTACTGCTCTTATTTATATTCATTGTTAACTGTAGTTAGCTTTTGTTCATCCCTTCGGCCTCATCAGGTCCTGTTCTGTTTTTACCCAATATGCAAATTGTTAAATATAGTTCGAGTAGTCTTGGGACGTGCTGTTCTGTTGAAACATTGTCCTGGAAAACACCCCATTTGAAGATTTGTTCCACAGCCACTCAATTTCATCAACGTTTGCCCATCATTGAAAACCCAACCGTCTACAGCAAAACTCAAAATACTATTACTAATACTTACCAAACTCCTCCTAAATGGTCAGTAGTCCCTTGTGTCGCTGTGGCTGACTGTAGATAACTGTAGATAGACCAGAATTAAAGCCTCGGTCCTGTCTTGTACTTGAGGTTTTTCTGAATACTCCGAATGCTGTATCTTCAAAACGAGCACTTAAAAACCACACGGGACCAAGCTATGCGCTGATCAGGCTCTGGTCTCACCAACAGTACAAGAATAAAAGCACTGTATTTTTTTCTTTTGACAGCAGGGGGCAGGGTTAAACAATGTCGCAGCATCTTGTCATGTTTTGCATGGATCTACTGAAAAAGGATGTCATTCGCCCAGATATATTGTTTTCCACATATGGTCTACGCCAAATGGACAGGGTTTCGTACAGTTTTAGGGTTTATTAAAGGTTTATGAACTACTTTGCAATAGGATGTCACAGTTTCTATTTTACTTTAATATATGTGTGTTTTTAAAATACTACAATTTGAATCCTAACTTTTATACTAAGGAAAAGGCGTGATATTTGATACAGACTTTGATATTGTGGTGATAATAAAAACACTCTTTTTATTAGGCAATAGACTTTAGTTATCAACACAAATAAAATGTACTTTTTAAATGCAGTTCTGTACAAATTTTTACCTATTTCAAAGCTTCGAAGACACAATTTCTAAAAGACAAGACACGAGATTGGGTCAATTGGGCATGAGAACGAGACAAGATGAGATTTTGACGTAAATTTTAAGATGTAAATAGTCGATTTAGTTCCCAAAGTTTGCATCAGAATTGGTATTTTTAGTTTATTTAATATTTGTGTTGTGATTTTATTAGTGCTTTCGGGAACTACGGCTTCTCAAAAGACATAACTCACCAGCACTTAATGTTTTTTTGTCCAATCCAAATGGAGGAAAAAAATCACAAGATAATTTTTCTAGTATCAGTACTAGTTTTGATCAGAGGTGCTTGCAAGTCGTGACTTGGACTCAAGTTAGACTTGAGTCACTATGTTTAGGACTTGAGACTTGACTTGATAAAGTAAGACTTGGGACTCAACTTGGACTTGAAGGTCAGTGACTTGGTACTTGACTCGGACTTAAGGAGCACTTTCAAATCTGAATTCTTTCTGTTCTGACTGTAATGATTCACACTAAGATCTTGTCAAGACATTTAAAAAAGGAAAAATGTACATTTCTTACATACTCTATAAATACTAAAAATAAAAATATACTATGATTTTTTAAGTACAAGTTATCTTAAAAATCATATGAATTGCAAAAATCTAAGCTTTGGTTTAAAGACTTGAAAAGACCAAGACCCCAATTGTAATTAGGGTCTTGTATGAGTACAGACTTTAAAAACACAAAGGAGCTTCAAAAATTACCACAAGATCATGTAAAAAGATTCATGTTATTGATATTACTGCCATATTTTACATCCACACAATTTCTCTACAAGTCTACAAACTATAACCAAATATTTTCTGAGAATTTCTGTTCTCTAAATTAGTTTCTTATCATTTTTTTAGCAAGTCGATTACTGAAATGCTGGTCACTGTAATTATTAGTTGTTTTTATATGTTTTATTCTCACTGTTACAGGCAAAGGACGTGAAATCCTATTGCAAAGACGTTTAGAATAATGCATAATGTCAACTTGAAATTTCGAGTTGCAAATCGACAAAAGAAATAGAAAAGACATGAAACCCTGTCCATTTTGCTCTAGAGTAAATCCTTCAGCGTGATAAGGCTGACGTTGGTTTTTATGTACTTATTTCATGTCACGGACTACTGTAATACGGATGCGCTGTGTAAAACCGACACACATGGAAGACATTGGAGATTTCCGTCAAAGGCTGCTGTGGTAAGTCAGCAAAAAGAACATGGTTGCTGTACCCAAACTGTTACAGGAGAAAATAAAAGAAACACGTTGTCTCATTTGTATAGTATTTTAAAGAATGAAAAAAAAATGGTGCATTGTCTGAAGAAAAAAAAGAAGCATTGACGATATGGGTTTAATGGATGGTGCTTGTTTGGTTTGAGTTGTATATTGCCTCTGTTATGTTTATGAAAACAAAAAAGATCTTGTGCATGACGTGTTTAGCGGTCATAATGATGTCCATTTGTGAAACGTGTATCAAATCAAAAAACGAAAAAAAAAAAAAAAAAAGAATAAAAATAAATCCGTAGATGCACTTATTGTAAATGTGGTTAGGATAGTACGTTTGACTTCAAGTTTTGGACTGCCTTCTCGATTTTTGGGCAGGGAGCTCTGAGAGACATGGGAGAAGAGATAATTAAAACAAAAAAGATTGTAGAATAATATGGAACAATTCTGAAAATTGCAGTTCTTTTGATGCTTGTGATTATTGAAAATGTACTTTAGAGAAATTTCCTTGAAAAGATATGACTCTGATGTTAATTCTGTAGAATAGCGATGTATACCAAATGTAATCTTTCCAATGCTATGAAGAATTTATACATGAAATTGATATGCAATAAAACCTGTGTGCTTTTTAACACGAGATCCACTCATTGTGTAATTCTACGTGCCATTCATTTTGTGAAAAAGAAACATCCCCCACACCAATCACCATTTCTGAAGAATTATACAAGGGTATGTAGGTCTTCATTAGGAGTAATTATACCAGGCAAGGTCACTGGGTAACAGTTCTTGTTCATTTTGTTTGCTAAATACATTACAGGCGTGACTAAACTCTGAAGAGAAGAAAACAAAGTGTGCATTACCAGCTCTGGGCGTAGGCGACTCAAGCACATTGCAGTCATAAAAAATAAAATAAAAATACAGTTGTTCCACTTGTTTCTACACATTTCAGATGAATTCTTATAATCAACATAAAACGTGAGGACAGGAGTCTGAACAGGTTTTAGACTGGACTGTGACTATTCTCTGTCTGGAACCGGGAGCTCTGTCCACAGTCCAGTGTGAGGCTGCAGCTCACAGGCAGGGGGCGCTCAGTGGACTGTAGCACAGGGGAAGAGCACAGGGGGGCAGCAGAGGGCTGGGTCTGCACACAGAACCACTGACACTTGATTTGGACCCAAAAGACTTGCCCCAAGAGCAAAATGGATTTTTCCCTCAAAATCCTAAACTCACAAATTCAAATATAGCTCTCTAAATAGCTCAAATAAATAAATAAATAAATAAAAACTTCATACATCAGTGACTATTTAATTGATCATTCAAATATAAAAATGCAAACAACATCACTTCATTACAACAACACAACACAACTTGTGTGGTCAATCACTAAAAAAAACAATAATTTGAATAATCACACATTTGAACACTGATTAATTATGATTAAGGACTTTGAAATATTTTATTTAGATATGTAAATTAGGCAATGAATCCACATGTTGGTTCATGTTTATTGGTAAATGGCCCTACAAAGCAGGTTTTGCGGTGTTAGATTTTGGATCCTGAGGTGTTGGACTTGGTTTCATCTTCGGTGCAGCACTCTCCAGTAGCTTGCTATGGAAACAGATCAAATGACAAAAGCTTGTGTTATAAGGCCTTATAATCTAAAGATATATGGGCAGTAAATCTTTATAGGCTGTTCCTACAGTAAATGCAAAATCATTACAAAAAAAAAAAAGGGAAAGTTATTACTTACCTGTATGTTTCAATTTCTTCCTTCACTTTGTCTTTACTGAAAAACGTGTATGATGACAGCGTCATTGCCTTCTTTATCTGGGTTTTGGACAGCTCCAGGTTATATGTAGCTATTTCTTGCTATAAACAAAGGAAGATGTCAGTGAGTTGGCTGATGCAACATACTTTAACAAAATAATATTTTGCTTAAGTGTTTATTATGGCAGAATATATGTACTAACCTCAAAGGTTGTAATCTCAGTTCTGTGCTCCTCCTCCATTTCTATAAGTGTCTTCTCAAGAGATGCTATTTCCCTTTTAAGAGCTGCCCATTCTTTGGTTTTCTCACCCAGGTCTTTCTTTGTTTTATCAGCTGCCTTTTTAACTGTCTCTAGTCTCTCATTGAACACCTTATTCTCTTTTTCTGTCATTTGCAGAGTTTTGGAAAATTCCTCAATGACGTTAACTGATAACTCAGTGCACTTTGTCAAGCCAGATATACTTTGCTGTAGCTTTTTATATTTGTCATTAGCATCAGCTATATCTTTGTCATATTGCTTAATTTGATATTTTGCCCGTTCAAGCTCAATGCATTCTTCATTATAGCGAACCTGGAGCTCATTGTATTTAAGAATAAGTTTGATATACTCAGTCTTTTTGTCTTCAAGTTCTTTTCTCTCTTCTTTCTCAAATTCCTTCACTTTGGAGATGATGTTCCTCTCTTTCTGCAAGTCTTGTTGTAATTTTTTCTTTTTCTGTTCCAAGCTCGCCACTTCCTTAATGTATTCTTCAAGTCGTTTGTTAAGGATTTGCAGTGCCTCCTTTTCATTTTCAATCTCATTTATGGAATCATCGTCGACGCTTTTCAAGGGGTTATCAACTGCATTGAAGTATTTAAGCAGCTTAGGGCGCTGCCCTTCATATTTGCCCAAAATATCATTTTTATTGCTCATCTTGGCTTCTCTGAAGAAAAGCAGGCTGGGAGTTGGCTTTATATTGAGCAGGTGTTCAGCACAGCCCAGGAAACAGAAAACACATGATAAGTACAATAACTTGAATAACTGCTTTGCCCAGATTCTCTACTGGGTTGTGCTTTTGTCCCCCTCCTCCTTGTGTTGTCTCTCACTCCTCCCATCAGAGCTAAATCTAGGTCTGTCTTTCTTTTTAATGAAATGTGCAGCAGTTTGGGCAGTGATGTCTTTGACCAGTAATGTCAATAAACCATTGTCTTGACTTACTAGTACTTTATTTGTTTATTTATTTATCAGGCACAATGCACACATAGAAACATTGACAAACATTAACATAGCAAAACTGCTCATTTTGAGCTGCAGTCCCTGGACAGATTGTGTTTAGAAATTACCTATATGTCAGTAAAATACAGTACAAATTAGATAGTTATTTAAATAAGAGTGATATTTGAATACATTTGAGCAGATATTTCTGACCTGGGTCTCCCCACCCAACCCGAGTCAAAATCCATCCCAACCCACCTGGCAAAAATGGGTTCAGATATTGTGAACCAACCCACAGTAAAACTAAAGTGTTGCACACCACTGCAGCTGGCTCTTGCATCTGCAGGGGAGCACCTTGCAAATGCAGTTACAAAACTGCCTGTGTCTAATGCTCCAAGCTTCGATTTGTTTTACTGTTTACAGTTAAAGCACTATGCTACAGGACACATTTGCTATGGCTTATGAAGATAGAAGCTTTAGGAGAGTTTGGGTCTAAAGCACCTGGATCATGCAGGAGTGAGGAGCCTATACATGACACAGTGTGAGCGAAGTCTGGACGACTTTGTACCCATAGGCAATATGATCCAAGATTGCCTCATTCACACTGTTTTACAGTGGAATCCAGTGTGTACTTACAGTATAAGCAGTGTTGTTGGAAGTAACTGTATGCATTTACAAAGAATACACATTTTGATTAACCAGTACAGTTACTTTAACTTTTTCATTTGGTTAGATTTCTGAAATCAAATCAATACATCGTGGTATTTGATCATGTTATTTAGGCTTCAAACTGCACATAATCAATGAGTGGACAAAAGCTCTCTAGGAGTGTTTTTTCCCTCTACAGTTAGTGATAAGAAATGCTTTGAAAACAGTTAAACAAATATTTAGTTAGTTAGTTATATGAAGCTGTTATTAAAACTGTGTTGCACATTTACACTATAATTTAAATGCATGTACCAGAATATGTTTCAAAATAGATTAAATGCAGGCATTCACTATTCTGTATTGGTGCCCACACCAGCCGTACATAAAGTTAGGCCAGCGTGTTATGATGTTTGTATAAATAGGTTGGAGGACTGCATTCAAATCTTTGAAAATATCTGTTCTTATCAGAAGTGTGCCAAAGAAACAGAAATACTGTAAACAACAAAAAACAACAAACAACTATGAAGAACAAAACTCAAGAAGACTCAAGTATCAGGAAATAAGCTAATGTAAACAAGAACTGTAACAGTGGAATGATAATAGACCAGAATCATTGTGACGAAGCATTTCATTTTTGTGGGCAGTGCCTAAAACACTCCTTATTAACAGAGGATCCAAACCACCCTGTTAACCAACAAGATGAACTTCACAAAGAAACAAACCAGGTATCGACTTTTTACAAAAGAATTATCCTATCACTTGGAACTCATTGAAGCAAATGACACAACAGACCAAGGACAAAGTGTCAATCCACAAGATCTTAAAAGTACTAAGGAAGAGCTGCAAAAACTAAACAAACAGCTTTTTGAATACATTGAGAAAGTAAGGAACTTGGAACAAGAAAACATAGTTACTGAAAATGAGCTGAAACAACTGAAGCAAAGCCACATTCAAGTGGATAAAATTTTTGAAGATGAGAAAATGAGATTGGCTGCTGAACTTAAAGAAGAGAAGAGAAAGTGTGAGCAACTACAAGGAAAGAATGTGGAGCTTGAAGGTAAAACTAAGGAGAACACTACGAACCTTACGAACACAAAAAATCAAGTGGAGGAAAAAGAGAAAGAGTTATCAGAGCTTACAGATAAATATGCAAAGATGGAGGCAACAATAGTTTCTATGGTGGAAAAACTCAAATTCTACGATGAAATAATCCAAGCAATTTCCAAGATCAAGAAGGAACAAGTGCTGAAAGAAGAGCTAGTTAAAGCCTACGAGAAGGAAACAAAAGAAGTCAAAATAAAAATAACAACCATAGAATCTGAGATGAAAATGTTGAAGGACATCAAAACTGAGCTGGTAAAAAGTCAAACAGAGAAAGAAATGCAATACAACGAACAAAAGGAGGAGTATAAGGTAAAGATTACAGTTATTATTATTATCAATTGTAATCAGCATATGTACAGTATGTAACATGTTGCTTCACTGCTGTTCCACACTGGGGAATTTTGTGTTCTTTTTTTTTTTAGAAAACAGTATCAGAGAAGAAGAAAGAGGTGGAGACAGTCAAGACAGACATAAAGAGACAGATCTCACAGTACAGAGGTCTGACAGATGAGAAGATTAAACTGGATGAGGAAATAAAAGAATACAGGTATGATCCTGATCAGCTGCAAGTAATACCACTTATGAACTTTCACTGACAGATTTCCTCCTGTATTTTGTAGGACTGTGCTGGATGAAGGAGAAACTCACATCAAGAGTCAAAAGATGCTAAACTATTTGGTAGTTTGCTATATCAACTATATTTAGCAAATATAACTCTTCTTAATAATAACTTCATAAATGTCATAATCAAACATATAAGATGGTGTGTATGTACCTATAACAAATTAATATAACTGAAATAAAGGGGAATTTCTTCATAAGTTGTGTTTCTATGATTATAATTATCATAATTATTATTATTTAGGCTTTTAAAAAAATATTTTAAACACACATTCAATAATTTGTATATCTATCTCCCAGAGGGGTCTAACTCACTTTATTGCAGTACCCTTTAGAAGGAGCAAAGTGGAGCAAGATGACTGGATTCTAACGAAAACAAAAAGCAGATATACTGTATATGTACAGTCATTTCTCACTAAATGCTGACCTGATCTTGTGATAAACCACCATATTTCGTGATGGACACTGTTGACCCAACTTGTTTCACAAAACAAAGCACATGTACAGTACTCACTTAAAGAATTCTTACATAAAACTTGCGGTGTAGGGACGGACAAAAGTAAATGCAGAAAAAGCTGATGATAAATCAGAAGTATTTTAGTGGCTACACTGGCTTTAGCTTTAGCCACGTGTCACAGTGCCACAAACTTTAGCAATTGGGCCCGGTCAAGGCCAAAAATTCAAGTTAATGCATCCAATATAAAATGTATTCAACAGATAGCATATGTGCTCTAGTTTATGAAACTGTTTACCTTTTTTCTGTACTATTTTTGGTTCTAAAGTTACATACGTTTTAAACAGATCATGTCACAGGTACAATTTTTAGGCCTTGAACAAGAATTACTTCCCAAATTTCAAAGACCTGCAAATCCTCTTCAGGTTAACTTTCAAGCTTCATCTTTGACTAATCTACATCTCTAGGTAGTAAACTTATGAAAATTAAAACTATTAGGTGTTAGTATCTGGTAAAACCTGTGTTTTACAAGTCTAGAAAAAAATGGTAATTTTCCCTCCGTTACTTTTCCCTCCGTTACCGAAAAATGATGTTTTTTAAGTTTTACATGTGTTAAACTTTATATTTCATCATTAAACTTTCGAAAAGCAAGGATATTGGTACTACTAAGCATTTCCTGCAGCAATCTAATGATTTCTAATGTTTCTACATATTTTTTTATTAATTATCCTATTTTTAAAACAGTTCATATAATAAGCACTTTCTACTGCATTCTCCCTGAATTATTCCATACATAGTGTATTGTTTTCATGATTGTATTAGGTTAAGGTGGTCTCTGTTTTAGCATTATCTGTAAAAATATACAGTCCCTGACAAAAGTCTTGTCACTTATCCATTTTGTGGAAACAAAAGCTTATAACCTGACTTTAAATTAATCGATTGGTTTTAGAAATGTCTCATATGAAAACTAAAACCCTCCCAAATTATGCTCAATATACTAAAATAAATTTGCTTCACTGAAGAAAGATTGATCATTTAATGAACACAGAAAGGTCAGATTTTGGCAAGACAGAAATTTTGTCGCCTACAAAAAATTGAACAAATAATTTATTTCAAATACAAAAATATGTTGCATAACGTCAGTGAATGAAGTAGTGGTGCTGTGAGATCCATATTTAATATCTTGTATGACTTCCATGAGCTTGAAGGACGCATCCATGCGGTTCGACAATGATTCATACAATTTGTTGATGAAGTCATCAGGAATAGCAAAGAAAGCGTCTTACATGCCTCCCAGAGTTCATCAAGATTCTTTGGTTTTGCCTTCCATGCTTCCTCTTTCATTCTACCCCAGACATGCTCAATGATGTTCATGTCTGGTGACTGGGCTGGCCAGTCCTGGAGCACCTTGATCTTCTTCGCCTTGAGAAACTTTGATGTAGAGATAGAAGTATGCGATGGAGCACCATCCTGCTGCAAAATTTGACCCCTTTTATGGTTGGGAATGTAAGAGGAGCTAATACTTCTTGATATTTTAGGTTATTGATATTGCCTTCCACCCTGCAAATGTCTCGCACACTCCCATACTGGATGTAACCCCAGACCAGGATTTTTCCGCCACCAAACTTAACTGTTTTCTGGGTGAATCTTGGATCCATGCGGGCTCCAGTAGGTCTCCTGCAATATTTGCGGCGGCTGTGATGTAATTCAACCGAGGATTCATCTGAGAAATCCACCTTCTGCCACTTTTCCATCATCTGCTTTGAGGCAGCACTGACACACTGGCTTTAAATGCTTTTGTGTCTGATCTAAGCTACTGACTATAAATTAACATTAACTTCAGCGCAATTTAGATCAGCAAAAAAACTACTGCTTGTTTTTATCAACGTGCAAATGCGGAGAAGAGAGGACTGTTCCACAGACAGGAAACACACACAGCTGTTGTCAACATGCTGGATTATATTTTTATGGACGATTTTTGAGTCAGGATTAGAAGGAGACTTATTTGTGCAGACTTGTGATCTGAAAGGAGCCTGTGTGAGCAGTGAGTGTTGCAAATGTGTCGGAGTTTTTTTTTTTTTTATCACAGATAAACAGCTTGTTTTCTTATACATTGGCCTAGTGAAAAGTGACATAGTGGCTATACATACATCACTGGACACACATTGATATGTAGGTGAGGTGTGACTAGAGGTGTGAATGGTCCTAATAATTATCGAGGTGGCACGCATTTACTGCTAAAGACTAATAGCGGTGGTTTACTTACTTTCTTTATATGGCTACAATATCAGGCCTACCTACTTTTAAAATTATATATATATATATTTAAGTAAAATCTAAGTTTTAGATCTATCTATCTACTTTTATATCAGCTAAATATTCATATCAGTTGGGCCACAGTTACAAGCATTTTGTAATTCTGTGTTGTTGTTTTTTTTAATCTCTCATTTGTAAAACAAATAACAAAACATGTTGCATAATAATGTTGCCTCTGATATACAGTAGCTGCCTGTAAAAACAAAGGGGGTAAAGAAAAAGAAAAAAAGCTTTCTACAAAGTCTGCTCTCACACTTAGTATAGACTTACTCCACTAGTCCAATTTCTTTTCACATTTGTCTTGTTTCAACTTAATTAGAAGTAATCCTGTCCATCTTTAAAATACTGTATCATACACAATATCAAACCAATGTAGGTATTTGTGAAGCCATTTCCTAGTTTTAAACCTTCAGCTGCACACAAAAAAATCTGTTTACATTTATTAATTTACACTGTGAGCACAATGAGTTGAGAAAAATATAACATTTAAATATATTTTGTATTCATATTATACATTACTCAAGTCATTGAATTCTTCCTCAGTACAATATACCGATGCTCCAATTTCTTTTTTCTCTGTAATACACGTAAACACAAAACAGAAACAAAATGGCAAGTGGAAACAAATGTGAAAAGTGGTAAAGAGATTATTTAAATGATCTCACATTGTTCATTTGTGGTGGAGTGTAAATGAAGGCCTGCATCTAGACACTTAAACAACATCAGCAGCTGCAATGTCTAACCACGCCTTTTCAAAGTGAAACTATTTTATAATTATGACTGATAACAATCTCACAGTGAGGGATTTTGTATTTACCAACTTCCTTATACAGATTATCTTTGTGTCATTTCAAAGCTAGTTATTTCCTTCTCTCATTTTGTAATTCTTCATGGTTTCATTTGCTAAAAAAACAAACATTTACATACATACACTATTACATAAGTCACTCTTAGGGTGTGCTTTTCACATACATAAATACATTGCTTTAAATAATAATATAATAAAGGAACACTTTGAAAACACATCAGATCTCAATGTGAAATAATATGCTGGATATCTATACAAATATGGACAGTGCAATGTCTTAGGAACAAAAGGATGCCACGTTTTTTGATGGAAATAACATATTCATTTTACAGTGGGATTAATTTGATAGAACCCTGAAAATCAGATTAAAATAATAATGTGGCAGGCTAGTCCATTTTGCCAAAATGAAATTTCTGCAACTCAAAATCCTTCTCAATCTCTTGTATGCGCCCCATGTGCTTATGTGCATGTTTGACAAAGTCGTGGGATTCTCCTAATGAGACGACGGATGGTGTCTTGTGGGATGACAGCTGTGGTAACGAAAATGGCCACTGGCAATATTTAAATCAAAAGTTCAATTTGTAGATTTGTATATGTGGTCAAACCTCTTTGTCTAAACCTGATCTCATCACATCTCAGAAGCTACACCTAACCAATATGTAGGATGGCCTAATAATGACCTTGTACTTACTTAAAGGTCTTATATTACATAAAAATAACTCTTGTGAACTTTAAACCATGTTCTGATGTTGTTTCTTCATCACAAACAGACCTGGAGTTGTGTTTTGTTTCATTCACACGTTTGACTAATCCTGCGTTATTAGTCTGTGAACATCTCCAAATCTCAAAATTATGGAAGCCGGGAAGGCTCATAACGAACGCAAACGCCGCAACAAATACAAAAGCCACAACACAAATAAAAACGTCACAACACACCAAAAAAGCCACAATAGAAATGACCGCAGGAACAAGCAAAGCCTTAAAGGAACGGAGAAGTGAACGAAGTTGGAAATGTAAGTAAAAGTAATTTATTGTTTTATAATTATTTGTTTTCCGCCCGCTGATGTCAGGTTTGCTGCTGACTTTGTAGCGGTGGAAGCACGGTATAGTGCAGCTACAGCAATCCATAGATAATAGGCTAAGCTACGTAAGAGTCACTGAGGGATTTATTATTAGTCATTTTCCATCAGGTTTAAGTCTTAAGTTGTGCTTGTGTTTGTTAGCAGGATATGTTTTGTCCATTTTGTGGAGTTATCCTTCAAAACATGGTGTCCTACTGTGGCTCCTGTCGAAGAAATATTCAGTTTTTAAGGGGTCTTCAGTATGAAGGTAGGGTGCACTTTTTATGGACTGTTATTCAGAAAGATTATTATATAATTGTTTGTGCTTTACTTTGCAGATCACTTAGTTGCAACAATATTGATTTGGTGGTCTTACTCCATTTTGTCCCTCTGTATATTTTGCCTAAATTAGATCCTCTAAGTTGGCAATTAGTCTCAGGTTAACTCACAACAGGTCATGAAATCTGCAACTGTACAAATATACACTGTGATGCATTGGTACGCCTTCCCCACTGTCTCCTTGTAATCTTTTCAAGAAT